GAGCGAGTAGAGGGGAGGGGGGCTGGGGAGGGTCCCAGGGGCGCTGGGGAGGTGTGAGGAAGATGAAGGGCTGGGACAGGATCCCGACGGGAGACCTGGAGGAGCTGTGGGGAGGGCCGGGGGTGTCCAGGGTGGGTCTGGGACAAGGCGGCTTAGAGCAGCAGCTCTGCCTTTGTGTTGCTGGGGAGCGCTTGCCTCTCCACGAGGTCCCCAACCCCAGGTGCAGTGCTGTCCCCTCACCCCACTGTCCCTCATCCCCTCCCGGGGCAAGGGAGGAGGTGACGGGTGCTGCTCTCATGGAGGGGAGGCGATGGGAGTGTGCTGCTGCCCTGGGGTGGGCCATTTGCCACTCCGGTGAAATAAATCTTCTGTTTCTAGCTTGGATGTTACCAGGGCTCCCTCCTGGCTGCTCCCAGGGGACAGTCCCTCCTTGGTGGCTTTGGGCTGGGGCTCTGAGAGCAGAAGGTGCTCGTTGCGCTGGCGTTAGGCATCCTTTCATCTCGGGGTTTGTGGGACAGAGAGGGAAGGGAGCACTCACGCTCTTGGTTGGGTACAGAGAGTAGTATGTTGTTGGGGCTTGGCTGTTAAGCTTTTTGCTCAGGATGGGGTAGTGGAATTAAATCCTTTTATCAGGTAGTCAGGTGAAAAGGGCCCCTGGGTGTCTGTGTTTCTCAGACCAGAGGTGGCCACGTTGGCATGTGAGCTGCCGTGGCGGGGGTATGGTAATCACACCGGGTGCTCTGTGCCTCGTGCTGCCACCGATCCTCTGATAGGATCTGCCTTTGCGCAGAAGATGATTTCAGTTTGGTGTACTGTGCTGTGGCCGAGCTGGTTCTGCAGAGCTTGCAGGAGTACGAAACCACCGTCGTCGTTGTCACTGCCCCGCTGCAGTCTCTGTATCCACAGACAGCTGAGAAAGGAAGTGTCACTTCTCTGTGTTTTTTTTATTTTTTCCAGCTAAAATGCATTAATGGGTTTTGAGAAGAGCTGAATTGAATATTTCTCTTTAGAAGAACTACAGGTTCTCCTCAGCAGCGAACTTTTGGTGCATTTGGTCCACGTTTTGGTAGCCCTGTTTAGAAGTTCTTGTGGGTGATAACTAGAATGCAGAGGAGGCAAAAGCTGCCTGTCTGTAAAGTCTGCTGGATGCGGACTGACTCCGTTTCTTTGCAGCTTTGTGTGAGCTCAGGACCAGGCAGCGCATTGCGGGGTGGTAGGTGGACCATCTGGTCATGTAGGTCTTCCTTTTCTAACGTCTGGGTTAGGTTGGTTTTTTTGTTACACTGACGTTTTGCGTCTCGGGGAGACAGATTGAGTTCGTGAGGACCAGCACAATGGTGTTGTGTGTCTCCTGTTAGAATGGGATGTGTTAACGAACGATTCTGCTTTCCAAGTGATCCTTGTCCTAAGAATACTTTTCCATTTAGTCTGTTTTTACTTGTACCCTTGCAAGAGGTGCTCTGAGGTTTGCGCTCTTCTGCGTATGCAGAAAACTTCTTGGCTGTGCGTCAAGGTAATCCTTTAGTCTCCGGGGGTTTGTTTTGGTGTTAGTAAGTAACACTTGCAAATTCTCTGGGTGGAATAATTCTTCCTTCGTCTTTTTGTGTGTCAGGCTTTTTCTTTGCAGTATTGTATTCTTTGTGGTGATATCGGAAAGGCACCGAGGGCTTTGGGGCCAAGACTGCCTGACCTCGTCAGCAAATGACAGAGTGGAGGGAGTATCCAAAAGGTTGTACAATAATCGGTTTCAAAGCACTAGAGACCAGGTGAGGCTTTTAAAAGTACGAGCAGCAGCTGCCTTTTGGACTGCTGTTGACTTTGGATGGCAGCAAAATACCTGATTGCTGTGCTTCTGAGCATGTCTTCAGGTCAGGGCTTGTGCACGTTGTTACTCCGGAGAAGCGCTTCTGGAATAATTGGGCTTGCACACAGTGTGACACTGGAGTAGTGATCTGTGTCTGCCCTCATTTGAAAAAAAGAAAAACCCAACCTATCTTGGCTCAGGTTTGCACCTGGCGGTCACCTGCAATCTCTCTCGAATGTCATGGTTTTCTAGTTTTCAAAAGTAATGTAATGATTCCTGGCGATCAAAGGGAATACTGCAATGTGCTCTCCCCCCGTGAAGCCCTGTTAATGTGCAGGTAAAGCAGAACAGTTAATTGCCAGAAGAAAAATATCTGCAGCGGGGAACAAACGTCCTTTCAGTAAAGCTTCAAGTAGCTGATGGAAAAGTTTGAGGGTTTTTTCCATTGTTTGAGCAAGCTTTATTTTTTTTTCATAACATAGTATTAAAATGTCTAGGATCCGTAGTGTCTTGTGTCATTAACTGGTTGTAAGAGATCATGCGGTGGTTTATGTAACTGGAGCGAGCCTCTTGCAGTACTGCTGATGCAGTGAAGTTTAGAAGAAATGTATTTCTTCACAGATAAAGTTTGGAGTCCATACGCTCTTC